ATTTTCTATCCACTGAGCCAAACCAGCCAGGGCTCAGGCTACATTTTTAAAATTTTATTTATTTATTTATTTATTTATTTATTTATTTATTTATTTATTTTAGGGAGAGAGAAACATCGATTTGTTGTTCCATGTATTTACGCATTCATTGGTGTGTACCCTAATGCAACCTTGGCTATGCTGACAACTTGCCAACCAACTGAGCTACCCAGCCCGGGCCTAGCATAGTGATTTTCAACCTTTTTTAAATCTCACAGTACACATAAACTTATCACTAAAATTCTGCGACACACCAAAATATACATTTTTTGCCAAACTGACCAAAAAATAGGTATAATTGTGATTCATTCACACCAGATGGCTATTGGGTTTGCTGTTGTCATTTTATTTGACAATCTAAGGGAAAAGGGGTCAGTGCCCTGACTAAATAGTCAGGTATTGCATGTTTTAAAAACTCTTGTGGTGCACTGGTTGAAAATTGACGCTCTAGGGCAGTGGTTCTCAACCTCCTGGCCCTTTAAATACAGGTCCTCATGTTGTGACCCAACCATAAAATTATTTTTGTTGCTACTTCATAACTGTAATGTTGCTACTGTTAGGAATCGTATGTAAATATCTGATAGGCAGGATGGTCGTTCGACCGCCAAAGGGGTCGCAACCCACAGGTTGAGAACAGCTGCTCTAGGGTTTTGGCTGTCAGTCTGTGGGAGGTCCACAGCTGTTGTGCTAACTACTCTTATTAAAAACACTAGAGGCCGGGTGTACGACATTCGTGCACTGGGAGAGGGAGGGTCCCTCAGCCCAGCCTGTGCCCTTTCACAGTCTGGCAGCCCTTGGGGGATGTCCAACTGATGGCTTAAGAATGTCCAGCAGTTGGACATCCTTAGCGCTGCCACGGAGGTGGGAGAGGCTCCCACCACCGCCACTGCGCTAGCCAGTTGGCAGCCTGGCTTGTGGCTGAGCAGCACTTCCCCTGTGGGAGTCAATGACCACCAGGTGGCAGCTCCTGTGTTGAGCATCTGCCCCCTGGTGGTCAATGCATGTCATAACTAATGGTCATTCCACAGTTCAGTCGATTTGCATATTACCCTTTTATTATATAGGACAGGAAGGATGTTTCCAAAGCTTTTGGTCTGCACTGTCAGAGTTTGTTTATTGACCAAGAGGAAGATCTGTTGTTGAGTTGAATGCTTTGCACACAGGCTCCCTCTGATGCCAGCCTGGTACTAGAGATTGCAGCCCTCAAGCGTGGCACACTCCAGGCACGCCTCGTCTAAGTATTTAAGTAAGCAAGGCGTGTGCCCGCCGGCTGAGGGTGGGAGCCAGCCCCCTCCCCGCCCTGCCTTGAGTCAAGATTGCACTGCAAGTGGAGCTGCCTTTGCTTTGTATGTTTTGGTTCCAACTCAGCCTTTTACACCACTCCTCTCAGCCTGGTCGTTTGGCCAAATACAAATGCCTTTCTTTGTTTTCTGGGTGACTTCCTCTTACTGAAGTTTACATACAATGAGATACACACTATACTCATTTCTCCAGTGGGTTTAAACTTAGCTCTCCCACATGGTCAACTTCCATGGTCCTTTCAGTTGAATAAACTTGTTGAACCGTGTCCAACATGACTAAACAGTGTGCAGTGCCCTTTGTGCCTGCTGAAGGGGCCTTCTGCTCTGGACTGGGCGAGGAGGGGGCAAGGGCCCCAGCCCTCCCAGCTGGGAGGGAAGGAGAGCGATATGACTCCTCCACAAAGCCAGCAGCCCTGGCCAGGAGCCCTGTGGTGGTCAGCTCTTCTGGGGTCGCACCAACAAGAGAGCATGTGTGTCAGCTGGAGAAAGTACAGAATCACTTTGAGTTCCATCAAATCTTTATTTTCAGATTCACTCGGTCAGTTTCATCATTTTGCACAAAGATAAACTCTCTATTCCCAAACAGTTAGTGCCAGATAAATGAGGTGGCTCTGTGACTGCAGGACCCTCACTGGCGCTGCACCCTGTGGGGACATCACTCTGGTTCGTAGGAAATGCTTCTCAGACTGAGCTGCTGCTGCAGGACACAGACTTGTGGCATCCATTCCATGTGTGGTTGCTCAGGAGCTGTGAGCGAGCCAGGAATTCTGTAAGATAAAGTACTGAGTGTCCCTGACCAGATGGGGCTGATTGAACTACACGGCGTTGGCAGCTAGAAGGTGGCAGGTGCTGCTGCGCAGTCTGCTCCCCCAGGAGGACGGGCATACCATGGTTTCCCCTGGCTTCACAGAGTCATCTGTGGCAGACGTGGACTTTAGTTTTTTCTAGATTTATTGAACAGATTTTTTTCCTTTGAATTACCAATCTATGAACTCTGTAGATTTGCATTGCATTTCCTTACACATGGTTGCTTAACAAGAAGTTAAAAATAATTTCTGTGTAAAAATAAAACCATCACATGAGTGACTGGATTGCTGGAGAGTTTTCAGAATTAGGTTGCTTTTTAATGACTTAAAAAAAAAACCCTCCAGCAATTACCTAAAGATGTGCCCTTTAAAAGAGTGGTTATTTTGGGACACGGCGTTGAGGCCCAGTGTCATGTCTCTTGCAGGAGGGAGTGAAGACAGAGAATGACCACATCAGTCTGAAAGTGGCCGGGCAAGATGGCTCCGTGGTCCAGTTCAAGATTAAGAGACACACCCCACTGAGCAAGCTGATGAAGGCCTACTGCGAGCGGCAGGTGTGCCTCTGGGCTGGGTGGGACTCTGCTGTCACCCCATGTCCAGGCTGTTCAGGGCTCCACTGTCCTGGAAGTGTGCACGTGTGTCTGCACATGTGTGCATTGGTGTGCATGCATATTTGTGTGTGTGCATGTATCCGTGTCTGCACATGTGTGCATTGGTGTGCATGGATATTTGTGTGTGTGCATGTATGTGCATCTGCACAAGTGTGTGCATTGGTGTGCATGGATATTTGTGTGTGTGCACGTATGTGTGTCTGCACAAGTGTGTGCACTCCTTGGTGGCCTTCTCTCGTCAGCCCTCTTCATCTCCAGGTTGTGTCCATCAGCTCTTGCTTCAGCAGGCCAGGCACAATGCTGCCTCTTCCCCTGGGGGTGGAGCGTGACCACATGTCTGCTCTTGGATCAGTGTTTATGCGGCTTCCTTCCTGGGAGGTTGCAGAACAGGGAATTTGAGTGCAGTTCCATGGCTCCTTCACACGGTAGCTGGAAAACGCTGTGGAGACACATCCCTCATCACAGTTTGGTTTCCACAAAACGCTTGATTCTTCCCCTTTACTTACCAGTTTTCAAAGTAATGAGCTGACTCACTTGCGTCCTCCCACAGTGACCAGTTAAATTGAGCCTTTTCAGTTGTGATTATTTGTGTTAGTGTCATGAACTTACAGCTCAAATGCATCTGTGCTTCATCCCTGAGTCTGTTTTGCTCTCATCATGCTCCATGGACTCACCTTTGGTCCTGGCCTATCCCCTCCACCTGGGCCCCTCACTCAGTGGGTGAGGGACCTCACTGCTGTGGTGTGATAGGTGCCCTGTCCTCTTCCCCAAGGAGTTCTGGGTGTGCGTGCTGCTCCTCACGTTTCACTCCAGCCCGGAGCTCCCTCTGCTTGTGGACGGCACAGCTCCTGGCCTCTTGGGGTTGGCGGCCCTGACTTGGGGTCTGATAGGAACTTCTAGGCATCATCCAAAATCAGCTGCCTGCTGCACCTCTGCCTCCCAGACCGGCTGTGCCTGCCCCTCCCCTCTCAGGGCTGCATCTTGTTGCCCCCGCTCCCACCCAGACCTTGGGGTCCAGCATCTGGGCTTTGGAACTTGCAGCCCATCAGTAGCATCTTTTTTTCTGCTGGCTCGTCCCCTCTTCTGTTCTTTGTCCTGCTGACTATGCTCTTTTAATTTCGTTATTGATTTTTTTAGAGAGAGAGGAAGGTGGGGGGGAGGGGGAGAAACATAGATGCGCGAGAGAGACAGATCGGTTGCCTCCAGCACGTACTCCAACTGAGGATTGAACCCGAAACCCAGGTATGTGCCCTGACTGGCAATGTAACTGGCAACCTTTTGGTGCACGGGCGACGCTTAACTAACTGAACCCCACTGGCCAGGGCATCTGTTTTATTTTTTGTCTTTTCAGCAGGGTTTCAGGAGGAGCCGAGATGTATGTTTTAATCCCATCTCTCCTGTTTAAGCAAAATCAGAGCTGCTTTTAAAAGGGCAATGTCTTTGCACCCTGACCATGTTTACCATTCCCTCAAGATGCAGAAAGTCTGCACGTGCTCCTTTTTGGATGGAAAATGCCTCTCCTCCTGCCTTCCTCAAGGCCACAGCCACTGGGACTGCTTCCAGTTTCCTGCAGTCTTCTTGTCACATGCCTCTGTCACCTGACCTGTTTCTGTTTCTCTCTGAGAATGTTTTAAAGGGGGAAGGTGGTGGTGCCAGCAGTTAGGAAATCCTGCTTGGCTTCTGGAGGGAAGTGAGAGGGACCAGTAGGGGCAGGTGCCTGGAGCTATAAGTCGCTAGAACAATAGTTTCTGAAGGTGCTGGTGTTGGCCTCACATTAAATGCATTGCAGGCCCGCCAGTAGGTTTATAATCCACTGGATCATCCATCTGCACATTCAGAACCCTCAGTCCATGTTCTATTTCGTATTTTTTATGTCTGTATCTATTGACTTGCATTCTAGTTATTCCTTTAGCCCTGTTACTCGCTTCACAAAGTCTCTTTTCAGCTGTGTCCGATTTGCTGTTTCAGCTGTCATTGAATTTCTTATTTTAATTTCTAAACATTTCATGTGCTTTTCAAGAAATGATTTCTTGCTAATTTTTGATAAACTCTTAAGCAAAGATATTTTATATTACTTTAAAAAAATTATTCTAACATATCCAGTTTTTGTAGGTATATTAATTCTAAAGTATATTCTTCAAGTTTGTGACATTTTTTTAAGGGGAACTCAAGTGTCTTGAAACTTTATTCTTGAAATTCACTGAATCCTGGTTTAATTAAAGTGTGCTACTCAGCAAAGACCTGTGTTTGCTTCCGCAGCATGTGTGGGGCCTGTACAACCCGAGGACCCATTAAGTGAAAAAACGGGTTTGGCCTTAGCCGATTTGGCTCAGTGGATAGAGCGTCAGCCTGCGGATTGAAGGTGCAAGGTGCCATTCGGTCAAGGGCACGGACCTGGTCAGTGTGCGTGCAGGAGGCAACCAATCGATGTGTCTCTCTCACATGGATGTTTCTCTCTGTCTCTCCCTCTCCCTTCCATTCTCTCCAAAAAATCAATGGAAAAATATCCTCTGGTCAGAATCTTGGTATTTTGGTGTAAATATTTGATGTTTTTGAATTAATGCATAACCTAGAAATATTTAATTATATTTGCCTTTTCTTTTCAGGGCTTGTCAATGAGACAGATTAGATTCAGGTTTGATGGGCAGCCAATTAATGAAGCAGACACCCCGGCCCAGGTATGAAAGCAGCTTCGACATCTTGAGGCCACTTCGACCTGCATTTGACTAATTGCTGTTTGAAATATTCTTGTTGGGGAGCTACTGATGGGTGTTCATATGGGATACCTTACTTTTCTTAATGTTCTTAGTTATTAGAGTATTTAACATATTAATTGGGCAGTTCAGTGTTTCAGATGAGAATGATGCCCTTTGTTGGACGTCTTCCTCCAGGCTGGGAGGTGCAGCGGGCGGGCTGGGGGCTTAGCAGAGGGGTCCAGGCAAGATGGGCAGATGCACTCACACCCCCTCGTGGTCTGGACATGGAATTTGTAGTGTTAGTCAATTTGTGGCTAACTTACTGGCTTGCTTCTTGGGCCCTGTAAGCATTTGTGCATAGGGGTATGGACGGAAAGTAGTGTGTACCCCTTCATTATCGGTCAGGAGTTAGCTTTTGCTAAGCCCATGACACCCCTTCCCCTCCCCACCCCCCCAACAGTCTCAGTGTCAGCCCAGCATGTTGCATTGCATGGCCCCACAGTGAAAAGTTTTGGATGGAGTTGGAGGCTGAGGTTCAGTCTGGTTCTTGTCATTCATCAGCTGGATGACCTGTGATCCAGAGTCACCTACTGTTGGGGTCTCACCCAGTCTTGCCCTTCACAGAGGCAGAATCCATTGGGCTGGCACATGTAAAAGAGCTACATGTTTCTGCTCAGTTGAGGAACTCTGCTGCCGAGATGGTGGTTGGCTTTGTGAGGATTTCTGGGGGCTTGCACTGGGGTGGGGGGCTGGAACGCTCTTCTCTGGCCTGTCACTCTGGCTCCTGTTCAGGTAGTGTCCACAGCAGCACAGGGCCCACTAACCCGGACCTACTTCCCTGTTTTTGAGAACATTTCTGGGAAATGTTATTGCCTCCAGCCCTGTTTAGTCTCTATGATTTGGCAGAAGTTCTTTTGTCCCGAGAATGGACAGAGATCAGGGCAGATGTCCATTCCCATGGTGTCAGGAGCAGCAGGTGGGGAGCTTTTGCCCATCTCTGGCCTGGTCTTGAAGGGAAGGGACGGGGAGCAGGGGTTCCTAATTGGGATCTGATTTTGTGTAATTTTCAGTAACAATTTTAGATACTTGTTCATTTTTTAATGAGACCTAGTTTTTCTGTCACTTAAAGTTAGTTTTGAATATTCTTTTGTGAATTTTGTTAGGGGAAGGTTGCAAAATAGTAGCTTATTGGAAATCCTAAACAAAGCCTCTTCTCCCTGATATGACCTAGCGACCCCGGAGCAACCCACAGAGCGAAGGTGTGGTGGGGTGTTGTGCGCCGGTGCGAGGGAGACAGTGCAGTGGACATGTACAGTTGAACAGTTTTCCTGTGATGGTGAGAAAACTAACAGATTTCCCCTCTCTCACTGTGCCTGTCACGTCGACCCTGCCAGTTGGAGATGGAGGATGAAGATACCATTGATGTGTTCCAGCAGCAAACAGGAGGCTCACGGGCGACTGGCTGCCTCTTGGGATGTGGTCTGTAGAGGGACCGGCCCACTTTGTCACCGTCCTTGCATTTGCTGTTGAATAGTGAACACGTGACCATGCCAATCACAAAGGAGTCTGCAGGAACCAAGGACATCCACAAAAATTCCTTTCCTCTTTGACATACTGCGGGTGCAACTCAAAACTGTCTGCAGGGACGAATCCTTACCTGAACCGGGCCAGCCAGTGTCATGTTTGTTTAGGAAAATGATTTGCATGGTTTTGGGGGTTTGCTTTTGCTCTC